CACACACACACACACACACACACATACATACATACATACTAGAGGCCTGGTGCACAAATTCGTGCATAGGTGGAATCCAGCTGGCCCGTCCCGATGGGGGCCCATTGGGCCAGGCCGGCATGGGGAGGGGCCACGGGCGGTTCCCAATCAGGGTGTTGGGGGCCGATTGGGGGCCAGATCAGGCTGATTGGCTGCTACAGTGTGTGTCATAGCCACCGGTCGTTCTGGTCATTCTGGTTGTTTCGCTGTTCTGGTCACTGGACTTTTATCTATATATCTATATCTATATATCTATGTCTATGTCTATGTCTATGTCTATATATCTATATCTATATCTATATCTCTCTATATATATCTATATACTAGTGTGTGTGTGTGTATGTATATATATGTGTGTATATATATATATATATATACACACACATATACATATATACATTCAAATGAGGTAAACTTAATTTCTTGGCCAAAAAAATTAGAGGACTCCTGATATATATTTAAATTTGTAATTATTTTATTTCTTTTTTATATGAAGTATATTTATTGCCTACTTGATAAACATGGTTAGGGAACTTCTTAGGTCAAACTATTAGAAGTCATTTAACTATTGGTAATAACCGTACTCTTTTACCAAACCAAAGCAGCATCATGTGCTTTTCAAATATTTAGTTTTTACTTTTTGGGTGAAAAAAATTACTTATAATAGTTATATCAAAACAAAGTTTTCTACTTAAAGACATGCTAGTTAAAAACTAAAAGACTTCATGTTTATGTTTATGATGATATTGATTCATTAGTTCAAAAAATATTTGCTTAGCTACTAAATGTTATAGACACTGAAAACAACAAAATAAAGGAACAAAAAAATTAAATGCCTCAAAGTACCATTGAGGCTGAATATTTTAGCTGAGCCTTCCATAATGTATTGAAAGGTACTGGACAGAGAACCCTTTGGGACCTAAAACTTCACTAACTATTTATGAAAATAAATAGTATTTCCCAAATTCTGGTGAAAATTCTGGTTAAAAATAACAAGTTGTTAGCCCATGTATTGTAACATGGAATCACATACTTTCTTTGATTAATCTTATAATATTTAACAAACTAATGAATACTCAAATTTTTATTATCTTAAAAATATTTTCTAACTTTAATGCTCACAATATATATCATGTATAGAATGTGTATGTTATGAACATCTGGAAGTGGGTTAACTGTCATGCGAGTTTTTACATCTGCTTGCTTTGTAACTTTGCCATAGCTACCTGCGTTGCCCTGTAGGTATAAATGATTAGCCAATGGGAAGCATAGCGGAGGTACAGTTAATTACCCTTTTTGTCTTTTATTAGATAGGAGATATATATATATATATATATTCTTTTTTTTTTACTCCTGAAAAACACTTTTTATGTTAGTTCATTTTGAAGAACTTGACCAACTCAACACTGATCAGTTTTGAAGAGGAGCTTCAGCATGTTTTAACTTTGTTTTTTCTTTCCTTTAGCCTGAACACACCACCTGGAACTAAAGTTAAGCTCTCAGGCATTGTGGATGTAAAAAATGGATTTCTACTCCTGAATGACTCCAACACCACAATCCTGGGGGGAGAAGTGGAACACCTTATTGAGAAGTGGGAGCTACAGAGAGTAAGTGTAACTGAGAAGAAAGGCTTCAACTTCTGAAACACTACACTCTTCTAATTGCAGTCTGTATTTTAAGGAGACCTTCCCATAGTGAATAATGTCAGAGTTGAATAGAATGGAATACAGGAATCTTTATAAAAACTATCTACCTTTGTTTAAGCACATTGTTCCTCTACGGCAAATGTCATTTTTTAATATTTGAGTTTTTTTTGCATAATTTGAAAAGTTACGTTTTACTGTTAAGTTTTCAAAACTCTTAAAATACCAGTTATAACTCGTGTATAATGTATATCATTGTTTCTGCAAAGCAAGTGTTTGCATATATACAAATATATATATATGAAAGCATAATGCATATTTGTTTCATCTACATACACACATACAAACTAGTGAATGCAAATTAGAATTTCACTATAATAAAGGGGTTCTTGTGACTAGGTTCTTTCTAGTAGCTTTAGTTGATGTTTCCCCAATTTGTGTTAACAATAGCTTCATCCTCGTGGTCATCTAGGTTATCTAGTATTGTTCCTCTACTTTCCAATTCTGTTGATTCACAGCAGTCAGATCTTATATCAGTCTCTTGCTCCCCAGTTGCATTGCTGTTACTCTAGTTTAAGTCTTTAGTATCTCTTGTGTGGACTGTTGCAGTAGCCTTTTAACTGGTCTATACACATATTCTTTCTCCATCTTTAATCTATTTTATGCACTTCTGCCAGATTATCTTCCTTCAGCATAACTCAGAACATATCACACCCTACTTTTATTTCAGATGCCTTAGTTTGGGATTCAGTGCCATTAATAATCCAGCCCTAGTTCAAGTTTATCTTTTCAACTCTAAATTATTTCACATAGATTTTGATCTAACCAAATGGAACTGCTTACTCTTTTTTTTTTTAACTCATACCACTTTTGCTTTATTGCTAAGCACTTCGGGTAGATATGGACTACTTCAGCCTTACTTACCACCATGTTCCTGGACTGATTGATGTTGACTTACATTCAAGGTCTCCAACCAGGTCACCAATGGCACTGTAGGGAGCTGTGGGTCTGGAGGTTCAGACCAAATTGGGGAAGGGAGCGAGAAAGGATCATGTTACAATGCTGAGGACAATGGTAGAGCTCAGGCTGAGGCTGGACCCTGGGCTACGCTGGCCTACAGGTTTGGCAACCCCTTCAGCTTCACTCGGTGCCTAGTTCCTCTCCAAGCGAGGCACATGGAGTACAAAAAATAGTTTCTCTCCAGCCTTGAACTTGATCCCAAAAGAGTGAAACTACTTACTCTTTCATTGAGTCTCTATGCTTTTCTCAATTATACTTTGGGGTGGGGGGAGATTTCCCTATTTTTACACCACTCATCTTGTGTTCTCTCTCATAATGCCTGCATGGCCAAATTGTCCTCATGCTTTTAGACTCAGATCAAATGCTTATTTCTTCACAAAGTGAAGTAGTTGCTCTTTTATTGAATTCTTGGGACACTTTATCCATTTTAAGAAGTGTATCACTTTTTAGCACTAAAATTATATTTATTTCTTATCTCCATTAGGCCTCTTAAGGTCAGAATTCTTTGTGTCCTCTGTGTTCAGTTCTATAAATATTTGTTGAACAGTGTGTAGATATTGTGCTGAGCTCTTGCATCCTCCTAACAGTCTTATGGGGAGTTTTATATAGATCAGAAAATGGACTCTAAGAACTGTTAACTAGCTTATTTTATAATTAGACAACTGATAGGTGATGGGTCTGAGCTTTCCAATATCTGCAAAGTGGTTGCTCTGAGTCTTACGTGTAATTGTGAAATGAATGAATTACAAAGCACAAAAGCTAATTACTCTTTGAGCTAAAATTAATGTTCTTGTGTTACTCTCAGTTCTTGCCTAAAGTGGACCAAGGGCCCTAACAGTATTTCAAGCTCCTGGTATTTTAAGATATATCACTTTTTTCTACTTTCTTTCTTTTTTTTTTTTAATATATTTTATTGATTGGAGCTAAAATTAATGTTCTTGTGTTACTCTCAATTCTTGCCTAAAGTGGACCAAGGGCCCTAACAGTATTCCAAGCTCCTGGTATTTTATGATATATCACTTTTTTCTACTTTCTTTCTTTCTTTTTTTTTAATATATTTTATTGATTTTTCACAGAGAGGAAGGGAGAGGGACAGAGTTAGAAACATCGATGAGAGAGAAACATCCATCAGCTGCCTCCTGCATACCCCCCACTGGGGATGTGCCCGCAACCAAGGCACATGCCCTTGACTGGAATCGAACCTTGGACCCTTGAGTCCGCAGGCCGACGCTCTATCCGCTGAGCCAAACCGGTTAGGGCTCTACTTTCTTAGTTTGAAAGTGCCTCTGTTGGGAGGTAAGTAGATAAGGAGAATTAAGCACATATTTTATTTCTTAGTACTCATTCCTTATGATAATACTGTGCTACATTTGGGGCTGCTGTGCTGATTCCTTATAATAATGATGTGCTACATTTGGGGCTGCTGTGCTGTGCAGTATAAGATAATGTTTCATAACTTCATTGTTTAGTTGAAAATGTTGCCAAAGCAAGTATGTGGAGGTTTGATAGTTTTAATAAAGAGCCAAGTTTATGGACTTTGAATTTCCCAGCAAAATCCCACTCATTTTATGTGATACTTTCCTTTCACAAGTTGATATATTTTTATTATAATTAAAAATTTTTTTAAATGTGGTAAGATGTTCTTAAGTCAGACCAACATCTTACATAATTTTCCCAACCCAACCAAAATTACTTCACTGACTGAAAAGTCAGTTAAACATTCTAGGAACTTCCTCATACCAAACACACACACACACACACAGAGATTAGTAGTAGTTTCATAGTTGTCCTTGTAATGTTTTATTATGTATCTTTGCACTTTGTTTCCTGAAAGCCTGTTAGTATTTCTTGTTAGGAAGCAATAAAAGTTTACATTAAAAAGTTTAAAAACATCTTACTGTAATTATAATTCTCTATCATTTTATAGTTTTTTGATTTGGTAACCATAGCAATGTAGAAACCATGGAGAGTTCAATTACTTGAACATCTGGCAGGTAGTACATACAGAAACCAAATGCACACATAGAAATCATAATCCATAGAGAGAATTTTGGAATTAAAAAACCCCTAAATATCTTGTAAAATAAATAGGGGAAGAGAACATTGAACAATATTTAAATCATATGCAGGTGGTGTAGTTGTAGCAAGTTGAGTACATACAGGTGAAGAAAAGAAGGAAAGTGGTTTGTATCTTCCCAAGCTGAAATTCTGTACCCATTAAACATTAACTTCTCATTCCCCACCTACTCCCAATCTCTGGCAACCATGATTCTTCTTTTTCTCTCTATGAATTTGACTACTTTAGGTACTTTATGTAAGTGGAATCATACAATATTTATCCTTTTTTGTCTGGCTTATTTCACTTAGCATAATGTCTTTTAGGTTTTATTTATATTGTAGCATGTCAGAATTTCCTAACTTTAAGGCCAAATAATATTCGCCCGCGCGCGTGCACGTGTGTTTGTGTGTGTGTGTGTGTGTGTGTGTGTGTGTGTGTGTGACTTTGTGTTCATTTATCCACTGATGACATTAGGGTTATTTTCACCTTTTGGCTATTGTGAATAATGCAATTATTATGAAGATGGGCGTATAAATATCTATTCAAGTTTCCGCTTTCATTTCTTTTGGGCATTTACCCAGAAGTAGAGTTGAGGAATCATAAGTTATAGTATAGTTTTGTTTTTAGTAACTACCATATTGTTTTCCACAGTGACATCACCATTTTACATCCTCATCAGTAACATACAAGGGATCCAATTTTTCCACATCCTTGCCAACTCTTGTTATTTTTTTCGTATGCTTATTGTCTATTTGTGTATCTTCTTTGGAGAAGTATCTATTTAAGTCCTTTGCTAATTTTTAAATCAGTTTTCTTTTCTGTTGTGTGACTTCTCAGTATATTCTAGATATCAATTCCTTCTCAAATATGTAATTTGCAATTATTTTTTTCACATTTCAGGGATTGACTTTTTACTCTGTTGATAGTGTCCTTTGATGCACAAAAGTTATTAATTTTGATGAAGTTCAATTTTATGTTTTTCTTTTCTTTTGTTACTTGTGCATTTGGTGTCATATCCAAGAAATTACTACCAAATCTAAATCCAAAGTCATAAAGCTTTCTCCCCCTGTTTTCTTCTAGAAGTTTTTATGAGTTTAGTTCTTAATTTACGTCTTTGATCCATTTTGAGTTAATTTTTGTATAATGGTGTAAAAACACAGTTGACATTTTCCATAATGATAATTACTAAAAATGTACGGAAAAGCTTACAGTTAAGAAGCTGTATTAAATGACAGCTGGTGCTTAACAGATATATGTTAACATCTCAAAATGAAACAAGAGGAATAGATGGCTGCAAGGAGTCCATCCTTCTGAAAATTCCTCATGACATTCAAAGGAATTTATAATGTGAGGAATTGCCTCTGCAAGGAAAATATTTTTTCCCATTTGCTTAATACATTGTTAATTTTAAATATGAGCGCTAGGGAAAAAAGAAAGCAAAATTATTAGAGTTTGGAAGCTTATTTTTATTAAATAACATTCAGTTATTTAAAATATTCGTCAAAATATAAATTGATTTTTTAAACAAGTCTTTTTTGTTTGTCTTTTTTTTTTTGTCTTCTGTTTTTTGAATCATCAAATCTTCAACTTGTTCCATATATCTGGCACAAGAAGGTATTCCAGTTAAACCAAGTCTTTATTAAGGATGTTTTTTGTAATTGAAAGTAATTAGCATATTATGAAATGTAACAATTTGATCTCTTTAAATAATTGGAAATCACCGTTATCAGTATTCCCATAAACTCTTTCTAGTTACACTTCTGAACTCTGTTACAAGAATTGGGGACAAAGACCAAATAAATATTTCTTATTATATTGCAATATAACAAGTATGTTGTTTGCTAATAGATTTTATGTCTAAAATTAGTTTTAATATGCTTTAAAGTAAAATTTTTACCAAAGTCTGTTATCTTTGAATTTGCTACTTGTTGAGGAGGGCTTTTTACTGTGTTTTGTTCTTGTAGGAGTAGCTTGGTAAATACTAAAAACTGTCGTGAATATGTGTTTGTTTGTTTATAGAAGTATTTTTTTAATTTAATATATATTTTTTATTGATTTCAGAGAGGAAGGGAGAGGGAGAGAGAGAGATAGAAACATCAATGATGAGAGAGAATCATTGATCGGCTGCCTCCTGCATGCCCCCCCACTGGGGATCGAGCCTGCAACTGGACATGTGCACTTGACCTGAATCGAACCCAGGACCCTTCAGTGGATTCTCTATCCACTGAGCCAAACCAGCTAGGGCGTAAATGTGTGTCTGGTATGGGGAGATTTTTGTGTGTTTTTTTTATAAGAACGTATTAAAATAAGTAGAGTCCTGGTGTACTGTAAATGTTGGAAATATATTTTTTATGTATAATTTCTATTTTGTGACTCACTTTTCTCACAGAGCTTGTCAAAACACAATAGAAGCAATATTGGAACTGAAGGTGGACCACCTCCTTTTGTGCCTTTTGGACAGGTAATGACTTTTATGTTGGCAGATGAATTTTAATCAGCAAAAAGTGTTTTTCATCTGTATTCAAGCTGTGTTTAGCTTTGTGCTGAACTATTCATTCAGAAGTCGTGTTATATGGAAATATATTCAGTAAAGGAATTTAATAATTGTGTTTTTTTTATTCACTGTAATTAAATTGATTTTATCAAGAACTGTTAACCCAAAGATTGAAAAAATTAAGAAGCACACCTGAAGAGCAACTAATAACTAATTAAGATAAGATGGTGGTGGGGCATTTTTTTTGAGAGAGAGAAATGCAAAAGAAGAAAAATATGCTAAAATTTCTCATTTTTTAAATTAAAAACAAAAGAGGGAGAGAGAAAATAAAAGTGTCAACAGAAGGATGAGACAAAGAAGTGAGGACCCAAGAGGCAGGAAGGGGCATCACTGCACTGTAGCAGAGCCTGCTGTCCCAGGCCTCCCTTTTAAAAATTCTATTCGTCTGCTTTGATTCAAATACCTTTCTTAGTCAGGAATTTAATTTTATTTTCAGTTGGTATTTTCCTTTCAACCACAGCATTCCTGATCCTTCTCTGACATAAGCTAAAGGTTTTCTGTCTACTTCCTATTTTTCACCCCCCTTGCTGCTATGTTACCCTGAGGTAGAGCTCCTTAGCTGGTATCTTATGTCTTCATGGTTGTGCTCAGCATCAAACTGCATTCAGAACAGTCTCCTCTAGCCTATTCTTGCTTTATCCCTGAAGAGTCTGAGAAGAATCTCTGTGACAGCTTGCTTTTTGCCACATGTTGCCACCAAAATTTAGCTTTCAATATTCTACCTTGTGTTTGCTCCTTATTTTTCTTTGAGAGTACTGAAGATGAGTTAGGGACACAATAGGTAGGAAACAGAAACTTGTATCTCTCTAACAACTTTAAAAATTTTGTGTGTGTGAAAAAGATAACTAGCTGATCAGAAGATAAATGGGTAGGATCAGATGCACACCTCTTCAAAAACCTTTATGTGGAGTCTACTCAAAATTAAATGGAATCATTCTTACATCATGTCTATTTTGAAAGTATTTTTAAAAATATGTTAATTTTTATTGTGCTTTGCAACAAGGCACAGTCAAGATAAAAAGAGGCATGATGCCCTTTGGTGTGATCTATGTTGATGATATTCTCACTTCTACCAGTGTAATAAAAAAACCACCAGAATCAAAATGGTATAAATATTCTAATAATTTGTATTTGAAAATGATAAATGATGTTTGTAAGAATTTGATTTTCTCTTAAATATTTTGGTGATAATATTTCTTTCAGAAATTGCTCAGAGACTTGTAATTTAATTATTTTCAAGATCTTAAAGAATGTTTAATGATTTTTTTGTCTTAGGAAGTATAATAAAAGTTATAGTTTTAATAATACTTGTTTCTATAGTCCATTATGAAAAATTCTTTTCAGCATATCTTACTTACACTTATATATGGGTTAAAGGTAGATAATGCTAGCTGTGTACTGGTATCAACGGGACATATTTATATTGCTAAAAATCTGTAATTGTGTAACATTTGTTTGAAAGCATGTTTTCTTACTGTTTTTAATGAGTTGAGAAAAGGTTTATTTTATAGGATTTTTACTGCTATGATTGGACTTATTTTTAGGCAGTGATGACTTTCTCAATTTATGAGACTAAAAATAAATTTTGCAGCTTGATTGAGGGAGAGGATATGCTTTTAGCTTTTGGTTTATAAGTTCAGAGACATCTTTTTATATGTTAAAATAACTATACTACTTAATCCTCATAAGGATATTGTGGCATAATGTGTAAATCAAGCTCTAAATAAAAATCTGAATTTTACCTTTTGTTGTGCAGTGGTCTAGACTGTTTGAAATTTAAATTATTTTAAGTCATTATCCTAAAATGAAACTTAGGTCTCCTAGTTCGATGTATGTTTTAAACATGGGCCCTATTTTTTTTTTAGTGGGGATGGGGGGCTTTTGTGAAGCTTTTCATTTTATTTACCAGTTACACTTATTTAAAAGTTACTTTAATCAGTTTTCTACCTTTATTTTTAAATAGAAAATTTTATTTTTATGGGTTCTCAGTTATTAAGATACAAACTTTTTTTGAAGAAGTAATACTTTGTTATGTAAACCTTGAATCTGGGAACTACTGACGTGATTAATTTTTATTTATTATTATCAGAAGTGTGTGTCTAATGTCCAAATGGATAGCAGAGAACTTGATCGAAGGAAGACCCTGCAAGTTACAATGCCTGTCAAACCCCCAAGTGATAATGATGAATTTGAAAAGCAAAGGACAGCTGCTATTGCAGAAGTTGCAAAGAGCAAAGAAGTAAGAAAACTAAATTATAATAAAATTTTCTTAATTCTTGTCATTCTATTTAAAAAGCAGTTAGCTAAGACTCATTACTGGTTTGAATAAAGAAAACTATTTCAATCTCACTGGTTTAAAAAAGCCTATCTAAGCAACTAGTTCATGAATTAAAATTTCTTATAGAAATCTAAAAATCAATAAATAACTAGAGAAAACACCTATTTCAAATAAGCAAGAAATTAAAAATAATTTTTAAAAAACATTTGAAAAAGATGGGGTCAGGGGTACGCACATGTATAAATACACATATTATCCAAAGGAAAAAAACAGTTTTGACTATATATTAAATAGATTTAAGGATGAAAACTGACAAAATTGTTAATCCTGAGCCTCTGATTTTTACCTACATTCTCAGTTGCTGAGGGGAAAATTATCCTCAAGAAGTGTCATCAAGTCCAACTAATAATAGGAAACCCTCTGCAGAAATATAAAGCATTGGGTTTAGCTGTTACACTGTTAAAAAGGAAGAAAAGGAAGAGGGAGAAAAGAAGGGTGGTTTGCTAGCAAGAGTAACTTAATGGACTTATCAAGAGGATTTAGAAAAAGAACATATGAGCAAAATGTGTAAGCTTAAGACTCCATAAGGTGCCAGGGCATTTTTCACTGATACATGGAGAAGGTCAGAAGTTCGTTGGATTTGTTACCGTATGTGAAAAGACAATAACAATATAAGTAATCTATTGAAATTCAAAGTTAAGGAGGAGACTCCTTGCATTTTGGTTCTTCCTGCAGCATGTCTTTCTATCATCAGTCTAATGTAGACACCAAAAGCAAAACCTTAAAGCATATCTGCTGACAACCTTGGATAGCTTACTTAAATTTTGTAACCTATTTTTGTTTGTCTATGAAAAGAAGGTAATAATGGTACCCAGTTTATGTGGTTATGGTGAGAATTAAAATTAATAATCTCTAAAACATTTTGAATACTACATGGCACAGATCACAATATTCCTTTGCTAAAAAGCTCTTAATAATCATGACTATTGCTATTCTTTAGTGTTTCCTCCATTCTAAAGCACATTTAAAAAAATAGTTTTTAATATTTCTGAAATTAATACATCTTACACAGTTTACATGAAATATATTTCTTTTTCAAAAAAAGCTATTAAAATTATGGAGTTACAGAAGAGGATATGGGTGTATATCAATTTCTTAATATCTATAGGAAAATTGTTCTTTTGATTTACATTTTTTTCAAACAAACTTTTCTCCCAAAATTTTGGTTGATGTGTTTACTGCTTTCTATTTGCTAGAATATACTTAATACACCGTAATATATTTCATTTTTTAAAGTCATAATTGATCATGTTATATTTTCCCATAAGTATTTGATAAGTAAAAAGCCATAGTTTTCTGAAGCAAACTTAAAACTTCTCAATTTATATATGAAAGAGTTGATGGAGGCTTAAAACTTGCCCAAGGTTACCCTATTACAATTCTAGGACTAAACCTATGTACATTACAGTAGAAGATTATATCTACATCTATATATCGATGTATCTTTAACTATACACACATATTTATATTTAATCTGTCTGAACATAAAAATAACATAATATTGTAATTGTTCTGAAAATATGTTTCATGATCTTTTATTAAAACAGTGGATTTGGTGGAATCTACTGCAAATGATGAAATAATGATTTTCATTCTTTTTTTCCTTCATTCAGCAAGTATATTTCAAGAACTTACTATATGCCAGGAAGTTAGTTTGTTTGTTTGTTTGTTTGTTTATTTATTTATGTCCTAGCCGGTTTGCTCATGCCAAGGACATGCCCAGAGAGAGTGAGAGGGAAAGAGAGAGGGAGAGGGAGGGGGAGGGAGAGAGACAGGGAGAAAGGGAGAAGAGAGAAACATTGATCCGTTGCCTGCCATGCAACCTTTCAGTGCATGGGGCGATGCTCCAACCAACTGAGCCACTGTGGATGAACACCAGGAAGTAATTTAAATGCTTAGGTTAAATCAATGAACAAATAGACAAAAGATCCCTGTCTTTATCAGGTTTATATAATAGGGAGGGTGACAGACTAATATATAATAAGTATATAAATTATATGGTAGGTTAGAAGTTGGTAAGTGCTATGGGAAAAAAAAGGAAAAGTAGAGTAGGATGGAAAGTTTTTGGAGTGCCATTTGTAGGGGGGGAGTACGATTTAAAATAAGATGGTCAGAAACAGAATTTTTTTAAAACATTTTTATTGATTTCAGAGAGGAAGGGAGAGGGGAGAGAGAGGTAGAAACATCAATGATGAGAGGGAATCACTGATTGGCTGCCTCCTGCACTCCCCCTACTGGGGATCGAGCTGGCAACCTGAGCATGTGCCCTTGACCAGAATCGAACCGAACCCGGGACCCTTCAGTTCACAGGCCAATGCTCTATCCACTGAGCCAAACCAGCTAGGGTGAGAATTTTTGAAATTCTTGTGTCGTTTATGTACTAGTAAGTCAGTAAATAATGTAAACATACTAAATAATCATATTGTAGATTTCCGTTTTAAATATAGTAGTTTGATTGGACCTCACTTTGGTGAGATTTGAGCCAAGACTTGAAAGAGAGAAAAAGAATTAGCTGTGTGGTTATATGAGAAACTTATTCTAGAGAGAAGGAAAAGCTTTTGCAAAGGATCAAAAGCAGGAATATGTGTTCAACCAGTGGAAGCAGAAAGAGCAAAGGGACATGTAGTAGAATATAAAGTTGAGTGGTAATGGGGTTCTACATATGTAGAGCCCTGTAAGCCACCTTAAAGACATTAGCCTTTATTCAGAGAGAAATTAGGAGCCTCTGGAGGATTTTCAGCAATCACATCAGCTGACCTACATTTTAAAAGTCTATTTCTGGCTGCTGTGTTCAGAACAGATTGTCGATAAGGAAGATTAAAATCAGACACGTTAGGAAATGATTGAAGTAATCCAGGGGGAGAAAAATGATGGTGGTAGTTTGAATGAAGGTGGCAGCTATGTAAGTCATGCAAAGTGGTCAAGCCTGGAATTTTGACAGTAGAGTCATCAGTATTTCTGGCAGATTGCATGTGGCACATGAGAAAAGAAGCAATGTCATGAATAACTTTAAGGGTTATGCCTTGAGAAATTGGCAGAGTAGAGTTGCTTACCTTGAATTGGAGAAGACTGGGATAGAACAAGTTAGAGAGGAGAAATATCTGGTGTTTTGTTTTGAGCATATTAGTATTGAAGTATCTATCAGACATCTTCATGGTAACATTTAATAGACAGTGAGACAGAAGAGTGTAGTTTGAAATGGATGTAAGCATTCGAGAGTTATAGACATAAGGATGATATTTGAAATCATGAGGCAAACAAAATCATCAAAGGAATGAGTGCTGTTACGGAAGAGAAAAGGGTAAGGAATGAACGCTGTAGCATTTCAATCCTAGAGATTGGATGAAGAAGTTGAACCAGCCAAGGTATCACTGGTAAGATAAGATCAAAACAAGACAATGCAGAAATTGTATCATGGAGAAAGGAGTGTTGAATTTATCAAAGACTGTTGAAAAAGTCATGTAAAATGTTGCCTGCGAACTAATGTAGAATGGGGAAATCATTCATTCCCTGCACATTTTTCTTAACATTCATATAGACGGCGTAAAGATAAAGTATAAGTGTGCAGATATCAGTGTGGGTTGATATGGTGAAAATCTGTTTAAGTTCTTCAGTGATTATTTTAGTTATTTCAGTGAGGAAGTGAGCAAGGTAAACTGTGACAATGGGGGAGAAGATGTTGGAGGCTTGAGCAGTGAGGAGAACATGTAAAATAGTGGTCTAGATGATTGGGAGGGTGAATGGGCTAGGGAAATATAGTAGGATTGCTAGGCAACATTTAAGGCCTACTGAGTTTCATGATCTCACAGATGCCTGATTCACATAATATGGACAAAACGATGTGGCTAATAAAGGACATCAGTTGCCTTATGGGTAATGTTTAAGTTGTGATGTTTCTAGGTATTTACATGTTTAGTGAGTAACAACTGTGTTAAAACACTAAAAAGCAATACTGAAAATGATATTTATCCTATTCCTTCATCTATAAAATGGAAAGAAAATAGTAAGAAAATGTATCCAGAAGATGGGGCTATTTCACTGCCACCAAAAAGAAAAAATACTTTTGGAATTACAGAATTAAAATTCCAGAAATATATTTAATTTGGAACAGGTCAGGCTCCAGAGTTTTCAGGTAACCATATTTTAATAAATTAAACAAAACAGTAGTATTGCCATCTGTTATGAGTGTTTAATATGTGCCAGTTACTGAATTTATCACTCATGTCGATGATATCATTTAATCCTCAAAATGTCCCAAACAGGCAGGTTTTCTCATTCCTCTTTTAAGCATGAGAAATCTAAGGCTTATGGAAGGAGGAAATTAAATGACTTGTCTGAGAATAGGAGTTAGGAAGTGGCTGAGCCAAGATTTAGTCCCACCATTGTCTAGCCCCAAAGCGTATGTTCTTAACTATACTACAAACGTTGTCTTCCATTCTAATAAACTTTGTATCACATTAATATAAACTCATATTTTTCTTTATGGTTATATAAGTAATGACTATCAGGACATTCCAGATCTGTTTTTGTTTTTTGGGTTTTTTTGCTGGGATTGCATAAACCAAAAATTGAATGAATCCAGTAATACACCTGTGGTTTTTAAAGATGTGGTATATCAATACCTAATAGAGATATTTAACATGTTGTCCATTAATGCTTATCTAACATCATTTTTCTATTTTTCAGGTCCTATTTCTTTATATTTTTATCCGATACAAAGTAATTTTTCAATGTTATATGAATTTATATCTAGCATGTTTTATTTTCTTACTGTAGTAAGTTTAAAACACATTTTTAAAGATTGATCACTATATCTAATAAAAGTCAAGTCTTGACACCTTCCTTTGAATCTATTAGCTTATAAAGATATTATATAACTAGATGTTTAATTTGATATTATACAAGTAATAATTGTGGGATACTTTTAAATTATGAATTAGTATCTTTCCAGATCAATGTTCTTTATGTTCTAGTTTTTCAGAATAGTTTTGAAAAAACATAAGTGAAATCAAATCAAATTTTCAAATTTGATTACACATATAATTTTTTCAAATAAGCCAGTAAAATAAGAACTATGGACTTCCAAATTTTCATACATAGGTGGTAAGACACAGCATATGTAATTAATGTAAATAATAAATTAGTAATGAAAGTTTTAAACCAGTGTTAAAATTTATATTATTTGTTTACTTTCTAAGATTATAGAAATATAGTATTGGATCATAGACATAATGTAACTGATTTCTAGACAGGTTTAGTGCCTTATTGAAGACTAGTAGCCTGGTGCATGAAATTCGTACACATTAAAAGGGAATTAATTAGCGGAGATATTTTAATATTGCGATTTGCCCTTTCTCTATAATAGAAGTGTGAGAGATGAAAGGAAATTAGTAAAATGTATATGAAAATAATATATAAATTTATTAATAAATAAACAGTAACAAAAGGATGTTACAACAGAGGCATGATATAAAAATGACAAAAACATGATATGAAAACAGCAAAAACATGATATAAAAACAACAGTGATGCAAACAATGACTGATAAAGTGATTAAACTTATTCTGATATCTCCCTGTACACCACATTAAGAGTGAAAACACTTTCAGAGTGCTTGACTAATTTCCCTTGTGATGAATTACTTAGAACTTTAACTGTAATGTCATATGCTCTTCAAACTCGAGAGAAAGCAACATATAACTGACCATGTGCGAAAACGGGTTCAGGTAGGAATATGCCTACTTTGTCTAGAGTTTGTCCTTGTGATTTATTAATAGTCATCACAAATGCTGGCATCAT